TTGTTATTATTATTGTAATTTTAAAAAGTAGTAGATTTATTACAAAAAGTTTAGTTGATATCATCAAGAAAAGGATCTTCGAAATTGAGTAAAAACGGTAACAATTCAGTACTTTTTATAATAATTCATTGCTTATAAGACTTCTTTTCCATATTATGTATATATGGGTGTGTGTGTGTGTGTATGTGTGTGTGTGTGTGTGTGTATTTCAACATAATTTTTGTTTCAATTATTATAGATCACATAATTTAAAAAAAGAAGGAGGAAGAAAGAAAGAAAAGGAAAAATCATACAATTTGAAAAAAGAGAGAGGAAGAAAGAAAGAAAAGGAAAGGCGTACGAGTAAACATTAGAAGAGAGTATCAAAAATACTTTAACAAGTGATTACTTTGTAACGGCCTTGCGTTACGTGCGGGAAAGTCTTAGTCGGTGTGGTCCGGGTGTCGTTTGTGAAATGAAAAGCAGTGGTGTAAATTATAATAATGTGGAACTATATTCTAATTTCGAAGCTATGTACAATTATTTACATGCGACGTTACGCCGTTGGCGCGTGGTCGCGTTTTTGCTCTCGTCGGGAGCCGATGTTATCGTCTCGCGATCAGCTGTGAGCGTCGAAGCGCGCGAGCGTCCGGCGGGACGCGGTCGGGATTGTCTCCTGATACGCTATTGTTTGTCGTTCGAAGTTTGTTGCCTCGTCGGCTTTAATCTGTTTATTTATCCTGGTTTTAACCTGGCTGGTTTAAAGGCTCGTCGTCACCGGTATCTTACGCCCTGTATGCGTTCGCAATCGTAGGTGTTAGCGGCGTGGCGTGAGGAGAAAAGGATGTCGACGACGCGTATCCACTTCGATCGACGGAGCGGGGTATGAATAGGAAGCCGACATCGCGTATCCACTTCGGTCGGCAGAGCGGTATCGGAGAGAGCATGTCGACGTCGCGTGTCCACTTCGGTCGACGGAGCGGTGTATGGATAGGAAGCCGACGTCACGTATCCACTTCGGTCGGCAGAGCGGTATCGGAGAGAGCATGTCGACGTCGCGTGTCCACTTCGGTCGACGGAGCGGTGTATGGATAGGAAGCCGACGTCACGTATCCACTTCGGTCGGCAGAGCGGTATCGGAGAGAGCATGTCGACGTCGCGTGTCCACTTCGGTCGACGGAGCGGTGTATGGATAGGAAGCCGACGTCACGTATCCACTTCGGTCGGCAGAGCGGTATCGGAGAGAGCATGTCGACGTCGCGTGTCCACTTCGGTCGACGGAGCGGTGTATGGATAGGAAGCCGACGTCACGTATCCACTTCGGTCGGCAGAGCGGTATCGGAGAGAGCATGTCGACGTCGCGTGTCCACTTCGGTCGACGGAGCGGTGTATGGATAGGAAGCCGACGTCACGTATCCACTTCGGTCGGCAGAGCGGTATGGGAGAGAGGATGTCGACGTCGCGTATCCACTTCGGTCGACGGAACGGTGTATGGATAGGAAGCCGACGTCGCGTATCCACTTCGGTCGACGGAATGTCTAGGATCTCTAGGAATTTCGAGTTCTGGTCGGTCGCGCGCCTGAGAGGAGCTTTCCGATCAAAAATCTCTCGATCTCGTTTTGTAATGGCTTTTTATACTAAATTATG